TTAGACAAGATTAGAGGGAGGTTCCTGTTCAAGCCAGCAGGTAAGCAGGTAAGCCAGCAGGTGAGCAGGTAAGCAGAGTGGTTGAGGAGCTATTTTATCTTTGAGTGAGAGGATGTTGCTGTTCCAGGAAGGATTATAACACGACAGCTGTGGAAAAATAGAACTGTAATTAGATAGTGTTTTATAAAATTCTTTAATAATTTTTCCTCATTAGTTGGCAAATTGGTATACAGTAATCACTTTTTTTTATCTCTTTCCTTTTTTTTGTATGTGAGCTATTCTTTTTTTTCATCGTCTTGCTAATTCGTGCGGAAAGGGATAATAATAATGCTCACAAGAATCATGCTTAGCAGTATTGATAGAGTAAGCATTCCACGTCTATCATTCGCATAGTTGCCGAGAGCAGTTCTCTTCGCGACAGTGGTAAATCCAAAATATTTTACCTCTATATATAATCCTCATTTTTCTGATTAATCGGATTTGTTAATTTTTTATTAACTTTTTAACCCGAGGTGCATTTCATATCTGAGTTTTTGGTTTTCCGTTTTCCCCCCTCTTGTATAATTTCCCTTTGTCCATTTCTTTCTTTCTTTTGTTTTTTGTTCCACGTTCTGATTCCATTTCATTTTTATACTCCCCAAAAAGTAAAAAGAAAGAAAGAAAATTTAGTTATATATTTATTTATTCTTACTTTTTTGGTTTATATTCTACTCGTTATGTTTTGCATTTGTTCGTATTCTTTATTCATCTATTTATCTGTCCCTTTTTCCTTCTTACTTTGTATTCTTTCCAATTTCTGTTTTCGCGTTAAATCTTTCTAGTTCTTTCTAATCCCATGGCCTTTCGTTATTTATTCTCCATGATTTTTCTTTCTTCAGACTTTATCGTGTTTGTTCCACTTCCTTTTATATATATCTAGCAGCAATCTACACTTTTACATGTATATATTCATATTCTTTCAACCTGTCTTTGGAATCTGCACTCTCCCTGCTCTCTCTCTCTCTCTCTCTCTCTCTCTCTCTCTCTCTCTCTCTCTCTCTCTCTCTCTCTCTCTCTCTCTCTCTCTCTCTCTCTCTCTCTCTCTCTCTCTCTCTCTCTCTCTCTCTCTCTCTCTCTCTCTCTCTCTCTCTCTCCATCCCCCGCACCCTCTCTCTTTCCTCTCTTCACTTATTTCAAATTATTCTTTTCTTTGTCTCTTTTCTTTCTTCCCCTTTCTCCTCTTTTCCCACTTATTGTTTATTACAGACCTCTCTGCTTCTTTTCTTCTTTTTAATCCTTTTTAAGCATATTCCTACTTTTTCTCTCTCTCTTTTTTCCCTTCCTCCAATCATATTCCACAGCTTTTTTCTTCCCTTTTCTTTCATCTGCGCATCTCACTTTTCTTTCCTTCAAATTTCCCTCCTCCTTCTCCTCCTCTCTCTAGATTATCCCTACACACTTTCATTCACCTTTTCTTCTCATTTTGTTTTATCCTTGTCTCTTCTCCTCCCACTTCCCTCCTCCGTCACGCCCGCACCTCCACTGTTTCACATTGGATAAACGTGTCTCCTACTCGCTTTGTTCTTGGACTCAACCTGGATCCCATCTCCATGTTATTAGATTTTACTGTACTTTCCATGTGATCCTTTGCACTATTATTGTTTTATTGGGCTTCTGTTTCGGTTGTTTTGTATTTGTTAGTTGGTTTTATTGTTTGTTTTCTGGTTTGAGTGTGTTTGTTTGGCTGTCTGTTTGTGTGTTTCTTTCTTTTTCTCTTCTCTTCTTTCTCTCTCTCGCTCTTCTCTTCTCTCTCTCTGTCTCTGTCTCTCTCTCTCTGTCTCTCTCTCTCTCTCTCTCTCTCTCTCTCTCTCTCTCTCTATCTATCTATCTATCTATCTCTCTCTCTCTCTCTCTCTTTCTCTCTCTTTCTCTCTTTCTCCCTCTCTCCCTCTATTGCACACACATGCTTTTTTAAAAATCTTATCTTACGTCTATCTTAGTTCTCCAGCCTATCTTCTCCATCCCCTTCTCATCCTCTCTTCCCTTACCCTATCCTCCATATTTAACCTTCATCCCATTGTTTACCTAATTCCCTCATAATGATCTCCTTTTCCCCCTTCAAACACCCTTCCTTTTCCCCTCACTTACCCGTCTTCTTCTTGTCTCTCCTCATCCACTCTTTCTGTCTCCCTCACCCACGCTTCCTCTCTCCTCTCATTCCTTCCTTCTTCTCCATCCTCTCATCCCTTCCTTTTTCTCTCTCCTCACCTGCCCTTCCACTCCCCTTCTCTCCCCTTATCCACCCGTCCTCTTTTCTCTCATTCCTTCTTTTTTCTCTCTTCTCTCATTCCTTCCTTTCTTTCTCTCCCCGCCTACCCTCCCTCTTTCCCTTAACCCACTCCTCTTCTCTCCGCTCACCCACCCATCCTCTTTTTCCTCATTCCTCCCTTTATCCACCCCCTCTTCTTCCCTTTTCATCTTATTTGTTCCTTCGTCTGCGTCCCACTCCCGAGGCGTCGGAGCAGAGCCGAGTATATTAGCGCATTTGTCCCTGTCTGTTAAGTCTTTGTGTCTCGGTCCCTTCTCCTGCGCTGACCCCACGCAAGGCACGGCGCTCGACCTTGCTGCGGAGAGTCTGTCTGTCTCCATCTGTTTGTTTGTCTTTATAGGGTCTTCTGTTTTCACTTGTCCTCTTTCTTTTCCTTCTTTTTCAAACGCCTTGCCTTTCTGTTTCTGCATTCTTTTTTATGTTTGTTCTTTTCCTGTCTTTTTGTCCGTCTCTCTCTTTCTCTATGCCCACTCTCTCCCTTTCCCTCTCTCTTTTTCTCTCCCTATCCCCCTCTCTCTCCTTATCCCTCTCTTTCTCCCCCTTCTCGCTCTTCCTTCCCTCTCCCTCCATCCTTCACACTTTCTAAACACCATTCGCAGCTCACAAAAGCGTGAGTAAACGGCGGAAGAATGATAATGACGTGATTCACGTATGACCTTCACACAAAGACAGGTGCGAGACTGAATACTCTCTCGTGCTCGCGATGGTGATGATGTTAATTACATTGCCAAAAATAGAGATGACAATGTAAATGATGATAAGGATAATGGTGATACCGATGACACGGCTGATAATAGTTGTGATAAGGAGGATGCTGATGTTAATGGTGTTAATGGTAATGCTGATGATGGAAATGATAAAGCTAAAGACAACACACTGATGATGATATAGGTCAAGACTTTTGCTTTTGAAAAATATTATAAAAAACAACAAAGATACTGTTTATGATAGCATTGGAATTAACATTATTGCAACACAGCATAATGTCGATAATGATAACGATACAAAAAATAAAATATTGGATATCATTTCTCTATCATCAGCACCATCTCTCTTAATAATGACAACAGTAATCCAGAGACACAGCAGAGAAGCACAAGTGATGATAACAGATTTCTGACTTCAGCAGAGAGAGGGAACCGTTTATTCTAAATATTTATCTCACGCATGACAGCTCCCTCTCTGCTGACCTCGTATATATTCATGCATTCAGCTGATACTGTTAATTACATACGTGCACTACTGTTGTGTGAGAAACATATGACAGGACGAGGGGACCGGGCGTTGCCAGCGAGGCATCACCCTTTCTCTGGTCGTCTGTCTGTCTGTCTTTGTCTGTCTCTGCTCTGTCTGTCTTTTGGGTCTGCTTTTGTCTGCCTGTCTGTCTGTGTCTGTCTCTGCCTTTCTGTGTCTCTCCTTTCTGCTTTTGTCTGTGTGTCTGTCTTTGTCTGTCTCTGCCTTTCTGTGTCTCTCTATTGGTCTCTGCTTGTGTCTGCCTGTCTGTCTTTGTCTGTCTCTGCCTTTCTGTGTCTGTCTATTGGTCTCTGCTTTTGTCTGCCTGTCTGTCTTTGTCTGTCTCTGCCTTTCTGTGTCTGTCTTTTGTCTCTGCTTTTGTCTGTGTCTGTCTGTCTTTGTCTGTCTCTGCCTTTCTGTGTCTGTCTATTGGTCTCTGCTTTTGTCTGTCTGTCTGTCTTTGTCTGTCTCTGCCTTTCTGTCTGTCTTTTATTGTCTGTGCCTCTGTCTGTCTTTTGGTCTCTGCTGTTTGTCTGTCTTTGTCGTCTCTGTGTCTGTCTATTGGTCTCTGCTTTTGTCTGTCTGTGTCTTTGTCTGTCTCTGCCTTTCTGTGTCTGTCTTTTGGTCTCTGCTTTTGTCTGTCTGTCTGTCTTTGTCTGTCTCTGCCTTTCTGTGTCTGTCTTTTGGTCTCTGCTTTTGTCTGTCTGTCTGTCTTGTCTGTCTCTGCCTTTCTGTGTGTCTTTTGGTCTCTGCTTTGTCTGGTCTGTCTTTGTCTCTCTCTGCCTTTCTGTGTCTGTCTTTGGTCTCTGCTTTTGTCTGTCTGTCTGTCTCTGCCTTTCTGTGTCTGTCTATTGGTCTCTGCTTTTGTCTGTCTGTCTGTCTTTGTCTGTCTCTGCCTTTCTGTGTCTGTCTATTGGTCTCTGCTGTCTGTCTGTCTGTCTTTGTCTGTCTCTGCCTTTCTGTGTCTGTCTTTTGGTCTCTGCTTTTGTCTGTCTGTCTGTCTTTGTCTCTCTCTGCCTTTCTGTGTCTGTCTATTGGTCTCTGCTTTTGTCTGTCTGTCTCTGCCTTTCTGTGTCTGTCTATTGGTCTCTGCTTTTGTCTATGTCTGTCTGTCTCTGCCTTTCTGTGTCTGTCTATTGGTCTCTGCTTTTGTCTGTCTGTCTCTGCCTTTCTGTGTCTGTCTTTTGGTCTCTGCTTTTGTCTGTCTGTCTGTCTGTGTCTGTCTCTGCCTTTCTGTGTCTATCTATTGGTCTCTGCTTTTGTCTGTCTTGTCTGTCTCTGCTTTCTGTGTCTGTCTATTGGTCTGCTTGGTTTGTATCAGCATATCTGTGTGAGTGTCGTTTCTGTATGTCTGTCTGTCTAGTATCTAGCTATTCCCTGCGTCTGTCGGTCTCTCTCTGTCTGTCTGTCTGTGTCTGTCTCTGCCTTTCTGTGTCTATCTATTGGTCTCTGCTTTTGT